TACTACTAATGATAGCACTATCTTTTGCTATCTCAATATCATTTAAATCATTATTTTTAATAATAATAGCTCTATTTTTTGCTATCTCAATAATATTTCAATCAATAATTTTCAATAATAATAGCACTATCTGTTGCTGTCTCAATAATATTTCAATCTATTATTTTCAATAATAATAGCACTATCTGTTGCTGTCTCAATAATATTTCAATCTATTATTTTCAATAATAATAGCTCTATTTTTTGCTATCTCAATAATATTTCAATCAATAATTTCCAATAATAATAGCACTATCTTTTGCTGTCTCAATAATATTTAAATTATTTTTTTCAATTATAATATTACTATCTTTTGCTATCTCAATATCATTTAAATCATTATTTTCAATAATAATAGCACTATATTTTGCTATCTCAATATCATTCAAATCAATTATTTTTAATAATGATAGCACTATCTTTTGCTATCTCAATAATATTTCAATCTATTATTTTCAATAATAATAGCACTATCTTTTGCTGTCTCAATAATATTTGAATTATTTTTTTCAATAATAATAGCACTATCTTTTGCTGTCTCAAAAATATTTAAATCAATTATTTTCAATAATAATAGCACTATCTATAATAAAATTATTAAGAAAATTAAAACAACTTAGAAACAACGAAGACCGGGATATCCACACCAATTGACTTGTAAATTCAATGCATTTAAACAAATATTTGTACCTCCTGGGGAAAACTTGGCATGCAGAAATGCTTGCTTCTGTTACACCTCTCTGCACCAGGAAGGTGAAAACAGAGAAGTGTGAGTAGTAAAACAACCAGATTAGCCAACGCGATGACTGACACACAGAGAATGAGAAATAATGACAACACTGGGTAACACAGTTAAGCCTAAAGTTCAGCTTTAAAGACGGTACAACGGTGGACCTCAGGATTATACGATGCAGCACAACTAAGCCTGGTAGACACTTCTGGAGAGCACAAGGAAAGGGTTCATATACTGGCACTATAACATGGTGCAACTGGAACCAACACCCCTTTCTACAGCTCTGTTAACAACAGACAAACAATGTCGTACTACCTTCTACAGGATCATCTGTGGGAGGAGAGAAACAAAACTTAGGTATTTCATAGGCTTTATCAACATTGAGGAGCACATGGAAGAGAACTTCCTGTCATAAGAGTCTACAAACTAATATACAACATGTCTTACGAACATCAACTTTATGCATATTTTTCATCAACCCTAAAGCCTTCAAAGGGTGTGCCTGAATGAATAAACTGGCATAAACCATATTAGCATCTGTTCAGGACTCAATAGATTTAATTGTTTTAGCGGCCTTATCTTGAGCAACTATTTCACCATCTTTTCTAAAGTTTCCTGTTCTTTTTTGGTGATACATGTGCAAATGTCCCATTTCAACAAATTTCCGAATGCAAAGAATGCAAAAGATTTTAGCACCAAAATGTATCATGGACATTCATAATTATCAGTTGGAATACTTTGAGGTTTAGATCCTTTATCGTGTTCATTATCTCGGCTTTATGAAGGTAAATGGCTCCGTTGTGACTTGTCATTTCTTGCTTAGAACAGAACCACTATTACCAGGCCCACTCGTACTCTTCTTAAGCCCAACGCAGACGAGGAACATTTTAAGCGAACAATCGTAAAAATTTTGTTTCGATCATTTTTTTCACCGTCTGCGGATTACAGAAACACGAACAAAAATGTTCGTGAGAATTGTTCGTGAAATCAAACATGTTTGATTTTTTAAAATTTGTTCGCCGTCTGCGTTAACGACGAACATTAGCGCCGAACATTTATCGACGAAAGACCAACCAGCGATCGAAGTCAGACCACATGACACTCAAAATGGCACGTCCAGTGAATCCGCCAACACAAAATTTTGGACTGTGGAGAAGGAGCAGATTTTAGTAGATATGTGGTCGCAATCTGCCTGTTTGTTTATGATTTCTTCGCCCGACTATTCAGATAGGAACAAGAAGTACGCTGCGATGGAAGAAATAGCACAAACCTTTGAAATAACCGGTAAATTTACAAAGTTGCCGAACACACCCTGCTCTTTACGACGTTGAATCCAGGTACGGACCTAAATGCTCTCATTTCGCCGTCTACGTTGGCTTTTTTTTTTAAATTAATAAAATAGCTAACGCAATTTTACATAATCTTCTGGACGTCGCCATTTTGAGGTCATGTGATTTTCCGTGACACTGGCGTATTGTTCGAGCTAAATGTTCGTCGTCTGCGGAATTATGTTTGTCGTCTGCGGTTAACGGAAAACAAATATATTTGTTCGACGTTCTTATTCGTCGACAGAAATGTTCCTCGTCTGCGTTGGGCTTTACTCGACATGATGATGTTGTAAACATGAAACGAAATATGGAAATAATTCTGAAAATGCAAATCCCCAGCAGAAAGCGGCACGACAATTGACCTTATTCTGGAAACAATGGCTGCCGGATAGTCTTATCCACACTTCATTGTGTACCACAGAAAAGGAGTGTAGAAATCCAGGGCCTATGACAAAATTCAGAGAACCTTTTTTTGTATGACTAACGAACTCCAAAATTACTTCAAATTAATCAGCCAACAAGACAGTAACATATATTTGAACAATACGAAATGATAAATGTGCTTAAACAATTGTTTTATGCACACAAATAATTCCATCAGTCACCTTAAAGAGGACAAGATTTGTTGAGCTCCGCCCACTTTTAAACAAAAGGGAGTAACTCTTCCTTACCAATAATCTATTTTATCACTAACGTGTGGACTCACTCCACTTTATGCAAATGATTGTATAGTATTGTATTTTTAGAAATCTTCTTTCTCTCTCCCTTTTTGGGTTTTTGCATGCCTATTTTTGAGTATTTTTTTTTCTAGATTTGGAAATTGATATCTGAATTGCATGATCCCTTTGTTGTCCCGTTCAATACAACCAACAATCGAGCAAGCAAGATAGTTCATGCCCACTATAAGAGCCTTCAAGAGAAATTCCCCCATGTCTATAAGCAGAAAATGATAGTTGCATATTCTAAAAATAAGAACTTAAATGATAATATCGTTCATAGTAAACTAAAAAACAATCAGTACATAACAGATACTATACTTCTCGCGTTATTTTTTCTAATTTCAGAACAGAACAGATTAAAACCCAATATCAAGACCCTTAATCCAAATTTCTAAATAAAGTGTCTGCTCCACCCTAGGCCTGTACTTTTGGGAGAATCAAACCCACCCTTGCCCGAAATCTAAAAATAGTCGTTTTGTGAACTGCCAAACTCTGTCGGATGAGTATAACCGGTAGTAGTCTACTTTCAATTTGACTAATTGTCATGGTCATCATATATTGAATTTTTTTAAGGATTGGTCAGGCTTTCATTCGACATATTGGAAAAGCTTTCCACGAGGTTTCTGGTAAAAGAGTTGTAGAAGGTGGAATTTTGTGTTTTAACATGGGAAGAGATGGCAGATGAATTAGTGGAGTAAGTCCGTGTATGAGATAAAATTTGATAGTACAAATGGTTCAAGTGATAATCAGTTTATTCAAAGTTAACATGGATTTTGAATATCTACCTCGACTTAATACATGAAAGTCGAATTTTTTTTTTAAAAGTTTAATATTTCAACCAAACCTTCAATTCACAGTTGAAGGATAAGAAATATCTTTAAAAGTGATTTGATGGTTTTGTGAAATAAAACCCTTTCAAAAATTTGACTTATTAAGTCTGTATATATAGAGATTCAAAATGGCTACGTTTGTACCATACACGAGCCATATACGTCTTTCGGCTTCCGTTATGTATTGCAATAATGTAGCATTTATATAGATATTTGACCTGGTTGAACTGTCGTGTAGATTACGTTTTTAAATAGCCCATATCATATGATAACATAATTATGTAGGGATTGTTATCAATTTTTATTCAGTGATAACTGTCTATAAGTTTGCAACTTGTGTATGCCCGGTCGCAAATAACTAACGAAGCAACCACTTTTCCAACTGAGGATTTAGGAAGCTCAAAAAATCGTTTCTGCCAAGAGGTTGTCATTGTCCAAAACTGTGTGGAATGAATGTGAATGTATTTTAACTCAGTAGGAACATAGATAGTGAAAGAAATTCAGGATGGCTATCAGTGATACCGAACGGGAATTTCATTAGTTGCAATAATTATCTACTATTCCATAAAATTTCCAGATATTAATGTGGGAAAGCATATTACGTGTATTATAAAAAAATCAAAATGCCGATTTGTGAACAGGTTTGTTCCTGTTGTGCTGGAAATGACGATTCTACAAACGAAAGAGTAAGTATATACAAGATAAAAATTTAACATATTTAATAGATATATTATTTAAGTACTAAGACTTATCTCCTCGTTTATCTCTGTGTATAGATACAGTTACTGTCATTGTTCTGTTATCTCATTAGATACGGGCATTCTACCCCATATACCTTAATATAATTAGTTACATTTACTTATTAAATATATATATCCGAATTTCGCTTGACGCATCTTAATAGTATTAACATCGATATTATGTTATTCTAGTTACATGATATTAGATTTCATAGCCAAGTGCAAATTGTTTTATATATTATGAAAAACGAACCATGTTTTAAAGAAAACAAAGCTAGCAAGATCTCCATAAAAGAATTGTCAGTTTTGAAGATTGAGACTAATCATAAATTACTTGTCTTGCACACTGCATTGTGTTGTTTGAATGTTGCAAAAATAAGACAATCACCAGAACGGGTTGACAATCATCTTCCTCCTACCATAATCTGTTATTAATTGTTCATATCTCAATTTTCAGACTAACGCCCCTGTCTTGGCAAAATTTCCCTTAATGCACCCTGCATGGCGTTGCCCGTCTTCATTAGCCCACATAGTCCAGAAAAGTAGGACGTAAAGCTCCATTCATATCATTTCATTTTCAATTTTCAGATGTCCCTTCTCAATAGTACAAGCAGTGTTAGTAGTATCCATAGAAGGACAACTGATATTCAAGACTTTCCTAACAAAGATTACGAGGTATGACCAGATGATTTGCTGTTTCGCTGTATTCCGATAATTCTTTAGTCATGGGTGGAGAAAAGATATATACGACCTGATGAATTTATCAGCATATTCATGTACGCTGTAAACTAAGCATTTTTTCCAATATCTAGATGGAAGGCAAGACCGTCCAGAACCTAGTTATAATTCTTCTAGAACTTTGTTTACAATGTCTTGTGCTATAATCTGCCCTCTTTCCCAAATTAATTTCAGAGTTTGAACTATGACAGATTCTGTAACAAGCCTTATTTAGAATATCAAGAAAAGTTTGAAAAAGAAAATGTGAGTAATACAATAGTAAATAAAAACTAGAACTGATCTAATAAAAGTACTGATGCAGGGCGGGTTACGACATTCAGGTACATACGAAGATGGTCTATTGCAATTACTTTGATGGAAATACTTTTCTGCATCTCTAAATGCAAATATCAACAGTGCCTGGAGTTTAAACTAGTTTGACTAGGAGTAAAAGAGTGTTTGTCTATTAATAAAGACTAAGTTTGATGAAATCCGGATAAGCAATAAAAAATTTGGTAATGTGCATGCGCACAACAAAAATTCAATGTTTCGATCAAATTTAAAATTGGATTATACACATACATACCAAGTTTGGTGAAATTCGGAAAGAAATAAGAAAGTTGGTAAGCGCATGCGCACAACAAATATTCAATATTTCCATCAAATTTAGAATTGGATTATACACATACATAACAAGTTTGGTGAAATTCGGATAATGAATAAGAAAGTTGGTAATGTGCATGCGCACAACAAAAATTCAATATTTCCATCAAATTTAGAATTGGATTATACACATACATTCCAAGTTTGATGAAAATCGGATAAGTAAGAAAGTTGGTAATGCGCATGCGCACTACGCAAATTCAATAATTCCATCAAATTTAGAATTGGTTTAGACACATACATACCAAGTTTGATGAAAATCGGATAATAAATAAGAAAGTTGGTAATGCGCATGTGCACTACGCAAAATCGATCATCCATCAATTTAGAAGTTGATTAGACCCATACATTCCAATTTTGATGAAAATCGGATAAGAAATAAGAAAGTAGGTAAATTAAGTGGGGATATTCCTTTAATGTGCTTCTGTAAGCTCAACTTACAGTATTGATAAGTTCAATCCACCCTAGAGCTTATTTATTTACCATAACTGGACATAAAACATGTTAAACAAAACGAAAAGGAGAGTATCTTGAGTGAACATCTGGAATTTTGATTTTAATTAGATTTAACAAGTGTTGACGGGGTATTTACAATGATTACCCATGTTAAGTGAATCGGATTTTGAATTTGCATGTAAGGTAATCATGTTATCAGTGACGGAGCCAGGTTTACGTCCCAGGGGGTCGTATGTATGTCATACAATATTTATTGAAAACAATTGAAATCTGTGCCCGAATTGCCTTTTTTGGTTGTGTAAAAAAATGTTCTAAACTCTACTTTCGGGCTGCGATTTCAATTTTTGAAATAATGTAAAATATAATCATACGAATGACATTCGGGCAGTGATTTCGATCCTAAATAATATGAATTATGAAATATTATTATAGGAGAATACAATCGGGCTATCAATTTAAAAAAAATACAGTTATAGTATAGGATATTCGGGCAAAGATATGATTTCATTTTTAAATTCCAAAAAAAAAAAAAAAAAAATCGGGCCGTTCAAAAAAAAATTTTTTTTAATGCTTTGCCCGAAAAACTAGCCTTCGGGGCTGCGAGGTTGGGCGGCTGCCTCCCTGCATCCCCTGTGGCTCCGCCGCCACTGCATGTTATATATCGTTAGGAAGCTCTGTGTACATTACGTTTCTATAAGAATTTGCTAATTTGCTATAACATTCGCTAACGAACGCCCTGCAATAACACATCTTTTTTTTTAGTATATACGAACATTAATTGGGCCAGTGTTACAGAATGAAATGCCCAAAACTTCTATTGCCTAGTAACTCTCTGCCTCTCTTTCAGGTAGTCAACTGAGTTAATAATAATGTCATTTGTTTATTTTTTCACTTCGAAGTTTCTGAAACAAAATAAAAATTCAAGTCTCTATCATAACGAAATCGAAATCAAGATATCATTGACACATTACAAATTTTATTTGAGAATTTCATTTTTTATATCTTTCCGATCATTGTTCTATTCAAAGGAATTAATTTCTTCAAATTTAAATTACTTCCTTTCAATAGAACAATGATCAGAAAGATTGAAGTTTTGAAATAATGATAAAAGTAACAATAAAAATTAAAATAAAAGTTACATATTACAGTATGGATAATGCTATTTTTCACAACAGCCCGGATCCGATTTATACAACGTTTTCGCTCTATTATACAAGGTGTTATTACTTCAACAATTGTAAATTAAACATATTTTTGAGGCTCCAACATTAATTTATGGTGAAAAACCTGTAATTCTCATTCCCATCTTGTACAGCCTTTTCGTTTCTTGCAGTCTGAGCGAAAGATTGAAGTTATTCAATGGATGTTAACATTTCTCATTGGCTTCCTTACAGCCTTAGTATGTGTTTATTCATTATACTAGTACAGTAAATATTTTGTTTTTACATAATCCAAATAATAACAAGAAATGCTTAGAGATTGTAAATCTCAGAATCTGTCAGATGCAACATTCACTTTACAAGTCTTTAGAATTCTTTGAAACATAACTACAGCCACCTTGCTTTCAGAACCGTATTTTGTCAACCCCTTTGATATTAATTGAAATATCAATTCCAAAATAGTAGTCAGAATCTTAGATTGCCTTTTGGTTGATGAAATGATACCCAATGAATTTATAAGGGCAATTATTCATTCTTAAACGTTTCTTTGTTCTTAATCTTAATTTTGTATCTATCTTTCTAGGTAGCCTTATACATAGATTTAATTGTGCAGTTATTGTCAGAGTGGAAATTTAATACAGTACATGATTGTATCCTTTAAAACAAACATCATCAAGTCATCATTTGTGTCGTGTGAAATATTACAGTGAATGGGGATAATTTAATTCCTTTGAAGACATTTAGAAGTAGCACATTAAGAAACAACAGTTTTTATGGATATAGACTTCTATTTATTATTGAACACAATGTTTCATTACACACACAGGTAACGTTATCAAGTGATTATTAACCATACAGATCACAAAATTATATATACCAGCTAAAAACTTAACAACTCTGTAATGAAACGTTGTGTTCAATAATACAGAGAAGTCTATATTCATAAAAACTGTTGTTTCTTAATGGAAATAATTGTTCAAAAAAAAACGTCACCATTAGAAATCTCTGTATGAAAAATAAGGCATTTGCTTAGAAACGTTTTGCTGGTAGATGACATCTCAATCCTTCACTTTGAGCCAATTGGAACCAGTCACAAATTGTACCCAATATGGAATGGTACCCAATAACTGAAAATGGTACCCAATAGATATGTAGAATGACTTCTCACTCAATTTGAAGGTTTTTCTCCAAATTAAGAATGGTAAAACGAGAGTTGATAACGCTCGATAGTTATCGTTACGTTGTAACATACATCATATACGTGTTGAATAGGGATTAACATCCAATTTATGCTATTTCATCAACAACCGTGGGTTTGTTTCTTGTGCGTGCGTGATCTAGATCTTAAAAGAATGGTAAAGTGGTTTTCTTAAATTAGCAGCAATTTGCACCATTAAAATCAGACGTCTGTGATTCTTGCAATTCCACTAAAATAAGTATTTGATGACATCACTAAATTGCAAAATATGTTTTACCACAAAAGATCCTTCGCGATTAATGACGTCATCAAACCCTTAATTTTCTTAGACGTTTGATCGAAAATCGGAATTTTATAAAACCTAGCTTTCTTATTTAACAAAATCAAAATATTCATAGCTACAATATTCCACGAGTGAAAGCAAGAACTGTTGTTAAATTATCAAATACCTTCTTCCCTCATAGTTAAAAACTTCTTTATTTTTTCCTGAACAATTATCTAGCTATTTTAGAATGTTCTACTAATGGATGCCTTGTTATCAGTTTATTGTATTTGTTGTTATTCAATGTGGGCTTTGTTATCATTGCGTCTTGTCTTACTATATATGAGGTTTGTAAATTTGTACAACTTAATTACCTTTCGAATATGGAGAACGGCACATTATCTCTTTGCTGACTTATTTTCCGGCTTTTGAAGAAAAGTATACAAAGACATTGGTCCACTAAACCAGATACTACGATCCGAAAAATCGTCGCAGATTCCATTCGCTGAGGTCGACGACAAGACCTTATCTCTGCAAGAAAGTTAATTATTAAACTCTGTAAATAATGCAGAACTCCATCTTCACAGGGTATCAGGAACTAATACCTTGACAACAATAGGTATTTTTCTTGTTTCAAGTAAATTTTTGATTGGATTGCGCGCTAACGAAAACAACCAATCAGACCCTTAGGGACGTATGCAGCGCTCTTACCTTGACTACAGTTGAACTTTGGCTAAAGTCCAACTTTACAAAGTTAGGATTAAGGCTTTCATTTTCTACATTTGATAGTCAAATTTAAGCTCGACTTTCGTAAAGATCGACCGGGGCATACCTAAAGTTCGACTTAAGTCTAACTTTAGTCAAAGTTAAGGTAAGGTACGAGCGTTGCATATGGCCATTAATAGAAAGACTGTAAACAATATGTAACTAATATTTCCTGTGTACTTTATGAACTGTACAGATGTACAGATGGAAATTGACTTACCAATAAGACATAAATACCAGAAAAGTGTCTGAAAATATAATATTAGCAATATTTACACTCAACGCTCACTGTGAGGTTTAAAAATGGCTTGCTAATTAGCACTCATTTATAATTTTCTAAAAATAAACTTGAACACTCAGTTGTCTGATGTGTGAATTTTGTCTCCAGTGTATTTGGAGTTAATTTTAAAATGAAGATTGCCTGAAATGAACATGAACAGAACCTGTATCTTACTTACGATGTCCAGATATGTTCTGGATCGCTTCTTTACGCACATTTATGAAATATGGATTCGTGATGTTTCTTTCTTTCTTTTTTTGTTAAAAGCAAAAACTCAATAGATTCTGTACCAACTTTAATAAGGCGGGGGTGTATACTTTATATTCCCCGCTATATTCTATTAAAAAAATTATAGCTTATTCTACAAATAAAAACATTGTTCGTTACCGACTTGATCCGATTTATGATGAAAATTGATTGAACGTTCTTATTTTCATCTGTAAATATTTCCTGTATTATTATCTTCATTAGTGTCAATTAATTAATGCATTATTATCATATACATGATGTCCATATATAATTTTCTTCATTGATGTTAACTTTTTGCATAAAAACACATTTTTTTAATAACTTTAACATTGTGTCAATGTCTTGTGTTGAATAGTGAGTGACTAATTGCTTCTCAACAGTAACTGGTTTCTCTTCAACCACTCTTACCTTTTATGGTGCATGCGCAAAGTATATATTTTGGAATTTGGCATGTAGATCATGCATAACTTTCCATTCAATTTTTGGTCTCATGAAACATCATTTGTACTCACACATGTATTCGCGGAAACACATCTCATATCTGATAATACCTTCTTTCAAAATCAAGCGAGTTTTTGCTTTTAACAAAAAACCAAAACAAACAATATAATATAAATTACAAATATGACTACACTATGTTTATATAAGGGGCACCCTCACTATGAAGGATATAAGGAATATAGAGAATGGTGGTTACTTAGCCAAACATAGACCTTGGGTAGTCCCGATATTTTATTATTAAAGAAAGGGGAAGAGCCTACAATGTACTTATATTTTCGATCAGCGGGGTGTATTATGAAATGGAACGAAACCTTTTATACAATTTTTTTTTTGTAGCCAGTAGCCGGTGGTTCTGGAATACCCGAGATTAAATGTTATTTAAATGGTATCTGTGTTCCACGTATTGCCAGATTTCACACATTAGTGGCCAAGTCTGTTGGCGTGTTGTTCAGTGTGGCTGGAGGTATGTTTGATGGAATAGTTACCAAACGGGGTCATACAAAACTATGCGTCTTTCTTACATAGAAATAACAGACACAATCTTGTACACCTTTTCTAAACCATGTGACATTCAGACATAAACAAAGTAATCCGAAAGTAGCAATTCAGTTTCTTTTACATCAGTTTGCATAGAAATATTACTTTTAAAGTCTAAAAATCTTTCAGAATCAAAATGTTGTTAGTGAGAATTTACAGATGGTTCTTGGCGTATGAAACTAAGAGGAAAATAGGCCGTTGATTGGAACTTTCTAAGTACCATCATCTTGAAAACTCAAGGGCTATTAGTTATTAGTAGTTTTTGTTATTAGTAAACGCTTTGGTTTACAACACCTACGCACGCCTCTGTCTGTGCTAGACGACTCTATCAAATTTTATCTTGGAAATATATAACATATATATATAAGTAATTAGGGCTGTCATCAATTCTTGGTATATATATATAAATGAATGTTTTATTGTTTCTATATCGCTCCACCATTGGTGTATTGTACGAAGGCCCTAAGGCGCAATTTTCCATCCTTTTATAAAATATTTCGGTTTAACGAAATGATTAATTTGTTTAAACGAAATATATGATATTATTTCGTTTAAACGAATTAATTATTTCATTTAAACGAATTAATTATTTCATTTAAACGAAATAATTATTTCAGTTAATCGAATAACTTAAGGGGCTCCGTAGTATTGCGCACTATTTTAACAGTGAAAATATTTTATTATTGTATATTATATGATAAGTTAACATGCATAGTAATGTTTTGTTCAATTACATGGATTATCTATAAAAAAACAAACAAACAAACTAAGCTATAGATGTATATCCAAAAAAAAAAAAACATTAAGATCGTTTTGTTCATAATATATTGTTCTGGGGTGATAATTGATCAAAAAACCACCTTAAAGTGAATTAAGTAAATAACAAAATAAGCAAACAGTGTGCATAATAATGTCAAATTCCATATACAGATGTAAAACTCCATTTATTTCATGTCAATTATTCACATAAAAATATACAAGTTTATTGTGAACTCTCATTATACACCCTTTCTTCAAAAATATTTTTATATATGTGTTCCTTCCCAGATTTTCGAATTGCCACAAATTTTGAGGATAGAGTATTTTTATGTTCATGTGATAGAGTCCAGTTTATATTCGCAATGGCATTTCGGCGCTTTGTTTTCAAAAAATTTCTGTTGATTTGAGAAAAGGAAAACATTTCTGATGTAACATGGTCCATCGTCTCTGAGAGTTTACGTTGAAAATCACATCGTGTATAGGTTTTACAGATCGTCAGACTGTCACAGTGGCTTTGAATCAGCATATTTTCATCCGAATATCCAGGCTCCTCTATTCCAGGAAATCGATAATTATTAGTTATAAATCTTCTGTCATCATGTAACGAACTTTTTGCTACACATTTGTCACTAGTATGAGCTGTTACTGCCAACGGAGTTGTGTTATTCTGGAACACAATAGTTTCCATATTTCTTCAATACCGTTGTTTGATGCGATGATCTATGAATAAACCACAAATAAATTTCAATACTTTCAACAATTCACGTAAGAATATAACTTGTTGACGGTTCTCAGTATAATGTAAAATACAATTTCAGTTCATCTCCTTTTATAGAATGATCTGAGAATCAAGCACGATGTGTGACATTTCATTGAAAGGTTATATGTATAAGTAGCTTAAATGGCGCTGATAATAATTAGCGACTTACGTGGATGAACAAGGACTACTTAATGAGTACATGACGATACGGACAGACTAATATTGATCACACAATTAACGCAAGATAACAAATAATTTTATTGAAATGAGTTGAAAACTATTAATAGCCGTCCGTTAGAATATTTTCTTTCCTCGCATTGGATTCCAACCCACAGCCCTAAATCGCCCAAAACAATAATCCATCTCACCCCACATGTAAACTCTTCGTTCGTTTCTGACATAATCTAATTCTATATGTCCGTTCGAAATTCAACGATTCATATTAAACATTGAAGAAACATTCAGTGAAAGAAGATGATTTTTGATGATTTGTTTCACTGCAGTTTTTTTTAACCTGCTAGCCTACCTTATCAATGGACCCATCAAAGAATGACTAGACGGGGGTGGTCGGAGGTCGACCGTACAATTGACAGATTTTGAGAGAAACTGAATATTTGTAAACTGCTAATTTGTGTTGGCATCTGGAAGAATGATTAATCGCATTCACGAGCGCACCGCCGGCTGAAAAATCACAATTGTCACCAGGTTGCTCATGTTTTACTTTCTAGGAATTGTTGCATATATTATATTTTACCGACCATGCATATAATTCATTATGTTCAACGTTTATACATTGTTTCAGATTGATACATATATTTAACTATTCTAGGACTATTTGTGGGTAAAGAAGGACCGATGATTCATAGTGGTGCTATAATTGGTTCTGGAATACCACAGGTAATTATACCATACGAAACAGGTTCCTACAGGAAATAACACACACGAACGTAGTTCACAACCATTTTGAATCTCGTCTTCGACTTTTAATGAAGACTAGAATATTTCAAAAAAGCCTTTAAATCGCGGTTTAGAATTGGCTTCAGATGTAATTTAAATACTCTTGTATTGCCTTTTCAAAAATTCAAGTAGAGGTAGAGATTCAAAATACCGAATGTAAAACGTAATTACCACCATAGTTGCTCTTGTTTCTAACAAAAAATGATGGATCTTGTCGTTGACCAGACTCTGCGGATCGCAGTTTTCATTGGTGTTCATTTTATATTTGACGACATTCAGTTTAAATTTGGCCCATTTTTATCATTCTTAAAAAAGGAAAACTGCTATTTGTGTATGTTATACGATGTTCAGTGTATACAATATAAAACCCGACATAGTACTTTTCAGTTCTTGGGTTGAGTACTCACTTATTTTTCAGTATTATATTCTATTCTTATATTATAGCTTAGAAGTATAACGTGTCCAAAATTGAAAACCAAGTACAATTTCTTCAGATGTGATAGGTACGTATGCTTAAAGACCCTCGGCGTATGCTCATAGACATCTTTCCCCGCTCTTTCTATGGTTTCTAAAAAGGCCCTTTCCAAATGGCTAGAACGAGGGATCTAAAGTGTGATTTAGTTGAGCATTTTTTGCTAAGGAAGTTTGTTTTTATTTCGCAATAACTTAAGTGTTACCACATCATCTGCTAAAAAAAAACCTTTTAATAAGCAACATAGTGCGATCTCATCCCAAGTACGTCATCCAAATGCATTTTACATGGGCATTTGGATTTATCACTCAAAGTTGATCAGTCTTGTGTTGTAATTGCCTTTTTTTTGGAGATATTTTAGAATGACTTGAAGTAATACAGAGAATTGTTACTTCTCCCCGATAATGAGATCGTAGCTCGTTTTTTTTTGTCGCACAGAGAGCGTCGACAGAGCGAACAAGATCGATGAAAGGACCCATTGGTCGAGAGAAAGTCGAGGCTGGAACGGGGATGAGCGAAGCTCAATCTTCGCGAGCCAGACATGATTGCATGCTCGACCCGTCCTCGACACTCACTCGATCCGTGCGATCTAGCTTCACTCTTTTGCGATCAAGTCTCGCTCAGCGCAACCTGTCCCAGACCTTCTCTCGCTAACTTTGCGACTTACGCGAATGTCATATAAATAGGACTCAGCCAAGCAGGGGTTATAATCCAACTACCAACTACTCCGACTACCAACAACTACCTAGTTTGCGATATCAGCATCCGCTGGAAGCGAACGTTAACTTGTCATCTACCTACCTACCTACCTGCAGGGGTTATAACACGTTTAGCTCTCGACCACGACACAAAGCACCCTTCTCTTTAATACATCCTACTTCGCTGCGGTCTATAACTTACTTCGCTGAGCTACTTTGACAATGCCAAAGAGAGGAAAAACCAGGGTAGCCAACCCCAAAAAGGAGGATGCTCCACCCAGGGACCCATCCGCTGAACAGGACTCCCAATCTGATGATGTTGAGGACATCCCCAATAACATGCCGGAGGAGAACCACGAGGAGTCAGTGAAGCTGACAGATGGCCAAGAGGATCAGCTGGTTGGCCTCATACAGGAGAACGCCAACCTGTATGACAAGACAAACAAACAGTGGCTCAACAAAGAGGCTCGAAGTATGGGACCCACCCTAGCCAACAGTTCGTCTGGAGCCAGCCTCAGTTCTGTCACGAGTTAGTAGTACTGGCAATAATGTTCCCTCTGGCGTTCACGAAGCCAGAGAGAAACCCAATATGTCTTCTTGGTATACTTCTTTCTCCTCGTCTTCAGCATGGTAAGCATACGCAGAGAGTCTTGTTGCAATTGCAGGACATGGTGCTGTAATAAGAAAGTATGATACAAAGCGATTGGGTCCATATTTTCGCTGGTCAAAAACTGGTGGTCGGCTACTGATCGCCAGGTCTTTTTATATGGTTACACAAATCCGAGCGATCTTGACAAATTTGCGCGTAGCTCGGCGAGAATATGTCTAGGGAAGATTGAGAATTAAGCGTTTATATCACATCTTAATCGCATTGATCGAGGGTACGTTGCAACTCGTACGTAGCTAGATCGGCCAAGATTGAGCCTTGATCTGTCGAGGTCGCACACTTGCGTGAATATATCGCCGAGAGATCGAAGCTATGTCGCAGATAAGTCGAACGGAACGAGCATCAGAACGCATGGATAGACGAAAGTATAGCGTATGTAGAGCGTAAATAGAGCGTACACATCGAGAGTAGAATGGAATAACATCGAACATTTCAGCGTACGCAGAAAAAAAATGGATTGGTCGCACAGATTTTGCTCGCGACTACCGGAAAACCAAGCTGCGTGCGATTTTCCCAGATCGTACTTGGTGAAATGGCCCCTTTATGCACGTATTCGTCCCGATTTTGCAACTCGCAGTCGAACGACACCAGAGCCGAAATCTACACTTCACTGAATGATTACGGTATTTTCCAAATTGCTTCGAATGTGGACTCTCCAAATATCAACAAAATCTTGATTTATGGACTTATTTTGAACTCGTCTTTAAATAATTGAACTTTAAATGTGGCTGCTCCGTCAACTTTCAACCAGTAGACAGTAGACTATAAATAGGTGACTTACTCATTTCTGATTGGCTGTTCTCTTAGACGCCTCTATTGTTAGAAATCAGTTCATTAACGTTATGTTAAAATTTTAGGTATATGCGCCAATTTTGTGTCTTAGTTTGTTGCTATTTTAGATAAATATTTAAACACGTATTCGAGTTGATTTAATTATAAGGAATGACCTGAACTTTTTTTCAGTTTATCGATGTATAAACAGAAAAAACCTGTGTACACTGTATAAATCCGAGTTTTTTTTTCTGTTTATACATCGATGCACTGAAAAATGTTCAGGTCATTCTTTAATTAAATACCATGTAACATCATAAAAAAAAAATGCAACATGCATGTAAATATATTTCGGCAATTTAGAGCTTTGTTAAATTGGATGGTTGACAATTATTCAGTGGTGTAACTTATATTCGTGCATATAAGGATTCAACGCCGAATTTCGTCAAAATTGAAAAACATACTTTATGTCTTAGTTGTTTCTTCAGATATTCTACGAAATAATTAGTATGGAAGGCAGCTGCGGCCATATTACCCTCGACTACTCGCCCACGAGAAAGCCAAGAAAAAGGCGAGAAAGCGAGGAAAATTGTTCTCGCTTTCTCGCCTTTTTCCTCGCTTTCTCGACTTTTTCCTCGCCTTTTTTTTACCCTTGCTTTCTCGCTTCCTCGTTTTCTCGCCTCTTTCCTCGCTTTCTCGCCGTTTTCCTCGCTTTCTCGCCCTTTTCCCCGATTTCTCACCTTTTTCCTCGCTGTATCACCTTTTTCCTCGCTTTCTCGCCTTTTTCCTCGCTTTCTCGCCTTTTTCCTCGCTTTCTCGACTTTTTCCTCGCCTTTTTTTTACCCTTGCTTTCTCGCTTCCTCGTTTTCTCGCCTCTTTCCTCGCTTTCTCGCCCTTTTCCTCGCTTTCTCGCCCTTTTCCCCGATTTCTCGCCTTTTTCCTCGCTTTCTCGCCCTTTTCCTCGCTTTCTCGCCCTTTTCCCCGATTTCTCACCTTTTTCCTCGCTGTATCACCTTTTTTCTCGCTTTCTCGCCTTTTTCCTCGCCTTTTTTTCATTCATCTTTATCAGTGCACATTTTTTTCGCATATTGTTAATATAATTGAATTAATGCAAAATAAAAAAAAAAACATACGAAATTTATTTTGAAAGAATGTTAATCAGAAGTATCACATATTCCTTCAAAATAGTTTTGCTATTGTTCCATGCATATACGGTATTTTGCATTTTGTATTTAAAATCGGTACCCATGTCGGTCGGTCCGTTCACATTATTGGTAATCGAATGAGAATCTAGCATTAAGTCTATTTTTTATTAAAGAATAAAAATTGTATATATATGTTTACGAAATGGGATGGGCAACAAACAAATGCGTCTCCTTTTCTATTTTGTAATATAACTATGGTCCCTGGATTCGATTTATCAATGAAATAAGTATTCATTTATAATAAATGATGAATATGCCTATCAACTGACGTCTTATGCCATGTTAAACATGATCCGGAATTTAGTTTTCAACCAAAATTTTCCTCGCTTTCTCGCCTTTTACCTCGCCTTTTTCCTCACTTTCTCGCCTTTTTCCTCGCTTTCTCGCCTTTTTCCTCGTCTTTTTTTACACTCGCTTTCTCGACTTTTTCCTCGCTTTTTACCTCGTCTGTTTTTACCCTCGCTTTCTCGCCCTTTTCCTCGTCGAGATTCCTCGCTTTCTCGTGGGCGAGAAGTCGAGAGTAGATATGGCCGGCTTCCATAAATTAGAATTGCTTTGTTTCGAATTTCTTTATGAATCCCTCGCCTTGACCTATTTTCATGAGTAACCAACTCGACAACGGCTAAAAATGCGTCACCTATTTTCGTTGTATGGATACCCAGTGTTATGATTATCATTCATCAATATTTGTCTTTGATAATATTACATTATAACAATTGACAATTACTTCAAAAATAGTGAATGTCAAAATGAAATAAAGAAAACGGAAGAGTAATTTATTGCTAAAATGCATTGAAACAACATTAAAATATGCCCCGCATTGTGTTCCTTAGAATTTTTCTGCTGACGGAATTAGGTTTGCACGAAATAAAGTTATTTGACTTATTCAATTTGGCTACTTTGTGAGAAACTGAATAGCACATTGAATTATTGCATACAGTTGAAATAATCAGTCACATTTTTTCAACTAGCCGAAATTGCAATTTTTTAACTGATTGCAAACGTCAGCCACAATCTACTGGAGTCAGTCACAATTTCATTCTTAGCATATATGTATTTAAAAGACAAAATTCATAAGTGTTTTTAAAGAATATATCCATATGACCAAGATTACCACAGTCGGGTTGCCTTCTGTACTGTTGATATAAGTCCTCTTATTTTGCGCTAATTACATTTTATTTTGCGGTGCATTTACCATGGTTCGTCATTTTCAGGGTTGATTTGGGTGTTGAATGGTATTCAGAAGCATTAGAACTACATGAAAATCGCATAATCCTTAAAAATATACTAGAAATGTCTTTTTCCATGTGTCTATATTTATATGGTTTCAAGGAAAGACGAGTCGTCATTTAGTTCTGTATTAACATGGATAGGAAGGGTCAAATTTCGATAGTGGGCTGTGAACACTTTTACTGATTAGCTTGGCTAAGAAATCACGTTTCTGAAACTAAGGTAGGGCCTACGATTGATCAAACAGATGACCCTAATATTTATTTATAATATTTATTATTATTGTGTTTATACAGAGATAAAAGAGATTTTGTATCCGGAGGAGCAGCAGCCGGTGTAGCAGCTGCTTTCGGAGCTCCAATTGGGGGAGTTTTATTTAGTTTAGAGGAGGGTTCGTCATTTTGGAATCAGAAACTAACATGGCGAACTGTAAGTATGTTGAGAGTTGTCAGATGTCTAGTAACATCTCTTAAAATTTAAGCATTGTTGTCAGAATCATTATCTGAAATATTCCTAGCTCGAATGTGTTATCTAGTGTTACAATTTGATGTTTACCAGTTTGCAGTTGGTAACTAATATTTTGTTTTGACAATGCCCGGATATAAAATATTGAAGTTTAAATTTTTTGTTTTTGTCTTTGATAATTAAAAATGGTATCACGGTAGTCTATGGGTTCGATTGGAAGCGCCAGTGTGGTTAATTCACTTCTAAAAAAAAAATATGTGTCAGAATGCATCAAATCAATTCTATTTCTCTAAAGTTTCCTTGAGGAGAATCCAACCAGATGGCCCATGAGAGACTTGCGTCTATGGCGCTTCCATCGACTTTTCGCATTTTTGAATCTCAATCTCGAACATTGTCAAATAAGTCAGTCTGCCCTCTATTTGTACCCTCTGTGTCGGAAAGCCGCCGCCACCACTAAAATCAATGTATTTTTCCCGAGATTTTATCACAACGACATGTGTCCATTCTATTAACTATCGTACTGCCTTTGCAGTTCTTCACTAAAATGAGATTCATCAATTAATTTTTTGTGTATTCTAGTCTAAGAAAAAAATTTTACTAAAGAATTCTAAAAATATTATTAATATTTTGAAGTTGATATTCTAATTCACATGGTGAATTGTGGGTTTAATGCTATTTACAGTGGTAAAGAGTCGTATAATCTTTTCAGTTTTTCTGTTCCATGGCGGCAACCTTTTCTTTGAATTTTTTCCTGTCTGGTATAAAGTCATGTAGTTGGGGATATTTTTATCTGCCAGGTCTGATCGACTTTGGTACATTTAGGGTAAGTGAATGACATAATTTATAAGGTGCCTGTAAAGAAGTCTACTCATCTCTCAAGTACACAGGAACACTTTCAGCTTTTGAAAATGTAGCAATTTCTTGCACTTGACATTTCTCAGGAAAAAAACACATCTCCTTGGAAACAGTTTGGCAAACTGAACACAAAGTTGATATAGACTTTAATTTTTGATTTGGATCTGATTATATTATAGAATTATACTCTTGTCACTTTTAGTGTCATCATCGCAGGTCGATTTCTATTCTGAAAGAAATCAGTTTACAGTTAGCTGAGATACTACTTATTGCATTAATATATATTATATTATATGAAATGACTTTTTTGGTTCTTGACTTCAACAGACCTACCTAACAAAACATTGATGTCACCTTGCTTTGACATTCTAAAACATTTAAAATGCTCACCTTGGTTTAAATATGATAGAACTTGAATCTTTTATAAACTCATTGAAAATATCTTATAAAAATAAAATTATAAAAAAAAAATCATTCATTGTAGTGTCAGAGTGAAGAATCGGAGATTTGTGACTTATGGAGTGCTGTAGACTTATTAATATTTATTATAATGGGACTGGTTGGTGGTGGACTTGGTGCCATATTCAATACCCTCAATAAATCCCTGTCCAGACATCGACTTCTTCACGTTCAACGTAAACACAAAATCTTCAGGTAAGAGTATCCATAGGGCCTACGTCCACCTCTTAAATCATTGCGCTTGTGGATACAGCTCCCTACTATTATGTTTTTGGAGAATTGCTATAAATCTGAACTACCCAGTGTGCACGTTAAAGATCCTTCAAGTGGAATAATGCCAATCTCATGGCAATGTGACCTTTGTTGCACAATACATCGAGTTCGAATTCAAGCGAGACAATGGCAATTTTACAGGTAGATATTCTCCGCTCTCCCTTATCATTCCGTTACGTAGAATTGAATTTGGATGAATTTCAGATTACTGGAAGCTATGTTGGTGGCTATGGTTACCACCACGTTAACGTTTCTAGCTGCTATGACTCTTGGAGAATGTCGTAAACTGCCTGAAGAGGTAGACATCTTATCCACTTTATGAAAAATTTTAAGATCGCGGATATACTACATAGTATAAACACTAATGAATCTCCAAGAGCAAAATTCTTAAGATTAGTATTTCATTAATCATCATATCAAGCTACAAGAAGAAAACACCAAACCAATTTGCGTCCGATTTTGATTTGATGTTACTCCGGGTTTGTCTACTTGTTTCAGAAAAAGTACCTATCACTAATGAATGTTCAAGCCTGCCGTGACAAGCATTGGCGTTTTGTTTCTACTATCATTAGTTGGAGGGGATAAGTATTTGTCATGGGGAGTTCACAGCTCAATTCCTTGGTAAACTCAATGATAAAAAATTTGAAACTAAGGAGGGGGGGGGGGGGGCTGTGTCTATGCCAAGCCAGGCCCATTCTTACCCTGGACCCCAATAGAAACACCACTGGTGAGACGGACATGGATAATGTTATATTTTAGCCTGTAGTGCTGAACAGTACAAAGGAGGTAATCACCAATGTAAGAACATATTTCTGTGCAGATGGTTATTATAATGACATGGCCACACTTTTCTTCAACCCACAAGAGGTAGCAATAAAACAACTCTTTCATCAACCTGGTAAGAGGCTTTTCCACAAATATTACAATCCAATATTTACATTTCTACTATCACCCCCTTCAATGAACTAGTAACGCAAACTGGCGTTTATTTTTCGATAAACTGTAGTTTGTCACGTGATACTAAGGCGTGGTCAAAGCACACCAATGACGTAATCTAAAAAGGAAAAGGAAAAGATTATATAAAAAAGTGAAAATTGTGTTAATAAAAGTATCTGAACATGAATATGAATTAAACCAAGAAGAAGAAGTAAATATTTTGCTTTACAAATAAAACGACCCGAACCGCATAACGTAAACAAAAATCTGAAACAACATTTTTGCTAAACATTGGTAGCAGCTAATGAACTTTTCACATGAAAATGAAATGAATGGAGTTTAACGTCCTACTTTTCTTCATCATGTGGACAATTTTTCACATGAGAAAATATATCTATCATGAAACTACATCATAAGAACACCTAACTTTTGCAACTGATAATTGAAATAGTTTTTAATTTAGCGCTAATTAGCCTTTAATAACACTTTTGAGTCTAAGTTAAATTATACTGCGTAAGAATGCTCAGGAAGACGTCAGAGTTCTAACAGGTGTTAATTTGACATAAAATTATCATCCAATTTTTTTCATCCAAATTATTTCAAATTACATTCATCAGAACAGAATGAATTGAATGTGTTTTGAAATTCTGGAATCAAGCCTTATAATAATGACATTGGAATGTTTTTTGATACAACTAACAGCTCTCTGATGATCAGGGGATCTTTCTGGGACTTTACCTACATTACACAACTATTGGTGATCTTGCGAATACATGATTTTAAGTCCTATGATAATATCCTCAATGACATCAACCCAAATTTATGATATAACATTAGTCAAACAATCTTAAAAATCTTGAAAACAATTCAATCAAATTCGACTCCTCATAAAAAATTAGGTGTTCAATGCATGTTATGAGAATGTCGAGAAATTGAGTTGACAAATTCCGTTGTTGTTAATGCATAATCCAAAGGAAGATAACTCTAAGGATAAAGATAAATCTGTTAGGTTGAAGAATGACCAGTCGTGTTCACTAGTGGGGTCATTGGCATATTTGGGGTAATACACGGAAGAAACATTTTATTAGCTCCAAAAAAAAAATCGAGATGGTACATACACGAGTCGCATAGCAACACATATAGAGCAGACTTCCCATTACATACAGACTTACTAAACATAGGTTTTACATCATGTAACATAATATAATCTGTACTTGTTTGCAGCTCGGTTTGGGATGCCATCGCTTGCCATCTTCTTCATGTTATTTTTCTTTCTGGCTTGCTGGACGTACGGTGTGGCAGTACCCAGTGGATTGTTTGTACCGTCATTACTGTGTGGTGCAGCTTACGGAAGATTTGTTGCATTAGTCTTAAAGAGGTTCGTCTATGATCATTGTCACTAGAAAACGTTCAACTGAAATAAATACTTCCAACGATTTTTTTAATGTTCTTTCGGTATTTTTCCCCTGGGCAATGGTTTATTATTATGATTAATAAAATATAGCTTAACAACAAAATGTGCCTGAAAATATATTAGCACAATTAAAGATTACTTAAGAGAAAGTTTAGTACAGGATGTCAAACCATCTCATTTTTTTTAATCAATTGTGCCAGGGTCATTATAGACTAGAATAGCTTAATCTATCCTACAATGTATTTTTACCCGAATCAGAACATTCTCCACTGTATTGTTTGTTTGGTTATTCTGTACAATATGTCATTAGATTCTGATGCCTTCATAACACAAACAATACACATTTTGTATTGGTGTCTAAATGCCTTTCTCTTCGCTGTCTGCATTGCTTATCATTTATTCCAGTGTATTTGGCTATGAGAGTGTCTATTCTGGAACATACGCCCTGGTTGGGGCTGCAGCGTTTCTAGGTGGTGTGGTACGGATGACTATAAGCTTAACCGTTATTCTGATAGAATCGACCAATGAAATAAGCTATGGTTTGCCTATTATGTTGGTACTAATGGCAAGTTTGAATTTTTTTATATTTTAAACGTTCATGAATTTGATAAATCTTCCTAGCATGAACCCTTTGGATTGTTGCACCATTCCTATTTTCAATCAGACGTAGTCAGTCCTTTCACTAAAACAAAGCATTTTAAGACGAGTAACTACCGCAAAGACATTTCAATATTCTTAACAGCAGCTTTTACGATAGTGATAGGTTAAGCAATTCTATAGAACCACAGACATCTAGCGGAACGTTGGAATGATGCAAATACAAACCATAAATACACGATAAGCATAAAGATAAGCTTGATTTTGAATTAAAATGTGTAGTACAGTAACAATCACCAGTATCAGTCATACATTTTTTGGGCGATAATGAATAATATTACCAAGTTTTGTCAACATCGGTCAAGAATTGGGCCTTCTAAAGTGACCTTCTTTTTTGTTATTTTCAATGAATTTTGCTTTGTTTGGCATTTAGGCTAATTCATGCACCACTAGGCTAGAGTCGCTTAAGCTTAATACTACCTGTATCAATATTGTATCCTATCCTAAACATGAAGATAGCTTGCCGGGCAAGGTAATATACGCCAACTGGCAGATTTTATTTTAAAGATGGGTTCCCGTATTTTTATTTATGAAAATGAAAATGCTAATATTTTTTGAATAGGAAGTAGAGGTGTTCTAATGACTTGGAAAAATACCAGTTTGTCTCATTGTGTCCATAATTAATTCATAGTTAGCTAAGTTAGAAGAGACTTTCCAGCAGAATTCCAATGAGTGACCGATCAAGAATGGTCAAAAAGTCTTTTTTTTTTCGCTTATCCAGACTGTACATACATGGACATTTATGATTGGTTAAAACTCTTAATTATATGCAATAAGAATATAATGATATGATAAAGAATACATGCTAATGATGATAATTCATTAGAAACACCAATTAATCAAATAGTTTGCTTAATTTGACACTAAAAAAATAAGGAAACCCATCTTTAAATATTTAGCAGTACAGTAACAATTACCAGTATGAAAAATTCAACCATCACTCTTACACTTCTTTTGTACTTTTTGGGGCGATACTGTATGATGTTACCAAGTTTCGTCTAAATCTGTCAACAATTGGGCCTTCTAGAGTGTTTTCTAAGAACTAGGTCAATATCTTAAACTAAATATACTTCTGATTTTCGGTAGGGTTCATCCTTGGTTGATAAAAAATCTGTCAATAATTGTTCGTGTTTACGTGCACAAAATTGACACATTTTCAAGAACAATGGCAATAATTGATACTTAATATATTTTCTGATTTTCAATAATTCATCCCTGGGTGATTATAAACACTCACACAAAGTTTTGTCTAAATCTGTATCTTCTAAAGTGTTTACGAGCTAAAAATTGAACGCGTTTTCAAATAAGGGGCAATAGCTCATACTAAATAGTTTTCGATTCTTCTGATTTTTGATAGGGTTCATCCTTGGGTGATAACAAACAGTCACTCCAAGTTTCGTCCAAATCCATCAAGAATTATGTCTCCTAGAGTGTTTACAAGCAATTATGGACGCCCATTAGGCTTTTAAGGGTTACGTGATACTAACTTAACGAAAGTAACGGTGATACGCAACACTAATTTACAGTCATCATTTCATATTATATTAGAAAAAACGCATCTTCGGGGGTGTGGAAAATACTATCAGAGGCTGGAATAGGGGAAGATGCTCTTCCGTTATCATAGATCACCTTCTTTGGTCGGCTTATATGTACCTGTATCTCGCATACCATTATAGCACAATTATAAATAGCCCCTGTACCGATACGACATCATGACAATTTCAATTTCAGGTAGCAAAATGGTCCGGAGATTTGTTCAATGAAGGCTTATACGATATCCATATAAAGTTAAAAAGTGTTCCCTTACTAGAATGGGATGTTCCGCCGCATACATACAGGTAAGTGTTAAGCTGCGATTACATGTTAACTCAAATTCAAACTCAAGCTCATACTCAAATTCAAACTCAAACTCACAACGTGATCACATGTGTCCGTAAACAACGATTCCACTAATCCGCCAATACGAAGGAGTAAAGGAAGTCTCCATGATTGATGTCATGAAGGGGATTATGGTTAAATAGTCTTCACATTTCTGCATGACAATGACGATGCCCTGGCGCATCTAGTGTTATTTCTGTTGATTTAACTTTGATCTAACCCTTGCAGCTGCAGGCAAATATTCACGTCACTACTTTGTACTTGTCGTGGATTTAGTTTTCGGACAATTATAATAAAATATTGTAGAATAGTCTAATTCTGGTTTTCCTACATGGTCAAATATCAGCCTAGTGCGTCAAGATGGTATAAAATGCGTCATTTAGATTAACACTGTTTCGTTTTACAACAAAATATATACAACCAGTGACCAAATAAGATGTTAAGTTTTGTAGCAAAATATCACAATTACATTACAATTTTTTTTGTAGAAAGAGATAGTTTTGCTTGGCATTTACAGCCTGTTTACTGAACAACTATCTACAATTTTTTATAGGAGCTCTCTGTGTATATAAACGGAACAATAATTATTGCTTCTATTTACCCCATTCCTAAATGATTTCCCATCCGATATTTGAGATTTTTGTTATTTTGGAAAAAAAAATATCAATCAAATTTGATTTCAATGGTATATGGATTAGTGAGGTAATAATTCAGTTAATTTTTAGCGGGATTGCAGGGACCAAGGACTTCAAAAATTGTGCAAGTACAAGCTGTAAATGTTTCGAAAAATGAAAAGTAACCAGAAATTATCTTTTATATATTTTTAGAATAAGTTTGGAGTAACAATGTACAATTATTGAAGAACGATTTTTCTATATTACTTAATTTTATAGAATGAAAGCAATGGTCATCATGAGTAAAGATTTAAAAGTTGTCTTCTTACATACAAGAGTTGCTTCCCTTGTACAGTTGCTGAAAACCACAGCTCACAATGTTTTTCCAGTTGTAACCACCGCATGTCAACTTCAAGAATCGGTAAATATGATTCTCGTCTAATCAGCTTGTGAAGATAGAATTTGCTCGATAGACCAAAGCTGTTATTTGAAAAGACCTATTTGTCGCGAACGGTCCAACTGCTAATTAGCTTAATTGTTTTGTTGAACATTGCAGTAAAATTGATAAATGTGTTGATAGTTATAACTTATTGGCAATTTTTCCTTCGATTGATTATCATTCATTGCTACCGATTCCGTTTTTCACTCTTGATCTGTCTGGTTAATCTGATTGTGGGGGATTTGTAGGTAAAAGTGTATGAATCCTCTACATTACCATTATCTTATAGGGAATATTAGGAGAAGAGTTTGGAACATCGCCTTTAACCGGCGAAAGGTAAGCCTACAAATATATTCTTCACTCTCGGTATTAGGAGTGCATTCACTGATTTGCTCTATGGTCTACTGGTTTCTAGTATCTGTGGTAGTGTTTCGGTTATGTTTATACACCAACAGCCTTTTATCATTTTGTTCAATGGTTGTCTAAGTTCCGGTTTAATTATACAGTGTCCATTACGATTCCCAGATGAGATCCGTAGAATGGTTAGAATACAATTATGAAATATCAGTGGACTCGAGTTCACAACAAACATGTGCATGTATACTATGACAGGTTAGCGGCCGATTCAGCGGGCAATATTAAAACTTCTGGTTTCCCGCTACCCCAACATTAAGAAATGGTCCCCTTAGTCCTGTGCCCCCTCAATCTCCACAATCAATCAAATCACTGAATTTACAAACTACCGTGGTACAAGAACAGTGACTATTGTAATTCAAGGTATAAGACAAAGTTCGTGATGATTTATAAAATTAGATTAGTTGCCCCTGGTTCTGAATTTAAGTTAAGTTGGCTTCCTGCTTTCTAAATGTGGTTAACAGCAGCCTCTTTGCAATGTACAGATTTTAGATTAATATTCTATCGACCCCTTTTTGATGTCACGTTTTAATGTAAACGAAGCTCTTTTTCTGTGTTCTATTATTTAACTTCATTCTAGGACATGATATTTGCTGAAGCCATAATATTTTATTGAGAAATTCGGTTGAGAAACCAGAAATATGTCAATGATATTACTTCGAATCATGTTTCTTTATTTAACTATTGGATATCACAGTTCGATAATATTTCTTTTTACTGCAGTAACATTTGTAGGAATAGGTGAACATTGTTTCATATTGTAAAAGACGCGACAAAGACTGTATCAATGACTATATCTCGTCTTTGGATATGCCATATACAATCTGGACAGTAGTCGAAAATTTCAAAGTTGCCGACTCTCGACAAAAAAATATTGTTTGGGCTTTTTAGCATAGTTGAAACCCTTCCAATAGCTGTTATACTAACCCCTGTTTATAAATTCCAGTTATAATGTGACGCGAACAAAGGGGGTATTCTGAGAAGCATAAGACACTGAATGCCCATTTTGTTTGCATCACAAAATACCAGCGTTGGAGAGGGAAGAAATTTGATAGTCTGGTGGAGTCAACAACAAGTGGCTAAATTAACAATAAAAGCTAGTAAAACGGAACGAAAGTTTTGTCTTCTTCTGTCGTAGACTTCCTGCTCTCGACAACGACTGTAAACAACTAATTTCTCCCTTTCAGAAGTTTTGAAATGGTAACCAAGAATCAACCAATGAAATTTGAAGGACTGATTCTAAGATCTCATATTGTTATCCTATTGAAAAAACGCATCTGGTTTAAAGAAGGAATATCGGTGAGTAACAGGGGGTGGTAATTCTGGAACATCTTGAATATTATCTGGTTGACCTATCTGACAAGATTCAGGTAAGGTCAACAAAATTAAGATGTAGGCACGAGACCGATACCGGACAGTTTGCAATATCATATGATCTGCCCCATGATAGATTCTCCGCTGTTTTAAATTAGTATTCAAAAAGCATATTGTCTTGCCTTCAGTTGCCTTTCGATATGGCACAACTTGTCAAGAACAAAAACAAAAAAGCGCTACGAAACTCAAAACCTTCTTTCCCCGAAATGATAAAATATAATATAAAAAAAATGACCGGTATCTGGGATGATCAGGCTCTAGTGCATGCAAGGCGACAACAGCTCGACAGATCTAGGTATATCATATGCTTATAGTCTGGTTCTTAAATCAATGTATGTATAGTAAACCCAGGGGGTGGAGCAGGGGATTTGCATATTTATGAACAGAAATAAGAACTAAAACCCATGGTAAATATTTAGATTTATTTAATTCAATAACAGAGAAAAGCTTCTTCGGTTTAACCTTTATTACAATGTAGATGAACATCCAGAAGAATTATCATATACTAAGAGTTACAAACGTTATTTAAATGCAGCAAAGCTACATTAGATTTAAATTTTGAATGGGAAGGAACTGTTATGTATCTGTGCATAACATTCTAAAACTAATATTTTCAATTTTAAAACAGATTACTTACTTTTCAAACGCAATGGATAACATTTCTAGGTTGAATTGCCATTTTTGACTTTTTATAACCAAAGTAATGTTATTTAGGATTTGTTATTTATATGTAGGTTTTAAATGACAGTACACTTTCTTATGATATATACATTAGTAATGTCTTTCGGAACTATAACTAAAATATAACGCAGACATTGTGGTGTTCTATGTATGTATCGTCATAATAAGCAACAAGTTCTGAGGACTTCATCAGCACAAAAAATTAACATGGTTTTGGATTTTCCTGTTTTGGTTTCTATGACACTAAGAAGCGTTGAGAAAAATGTAAATGAATGGTAGAATTATATACAGTTGGGACAATTCCAAATAATCTGAAAATATAAATAATTGGTTTTGAGATAAAGCTTATGCTGGTTAGACCCTCGTAAACTGCTGTTCACGAAGTTTTATGTCGGTTTTCGGCCCATGGTGATCTCTTTTGTCATCCATGATCGCAAGAAATTATGTGGAACTACGAGACCTATGTCACTAACAAATGCATCTAATCAGTTGTTCACTAAAAAGTTTAATGGAAGACATACTTGCGGAGAAAAAGTATAATCGCATTGCAAAATTAGATATAATTGGTTTTTGGGATAACATACAGTATTCAAATTATGAATATATTATGCATCTTAAAAATTTTACAATCGGAATTGATCAAGCATGGCACAGCAATACATCGTCGTTTCAGTCGCAACTCTTCGTATGAGGCGATGAATTTTAACTAATCAAATCTCTGACCAAATCGACCCTTTTCATTGGAGAAGGGTTTCCGTACTCCCATAATAGTTACGAAAGCGTACGTAGAAGAGTGATGATTAACTAGTTTGAAATTCACGCGACATCATGAATATTTATCACCTACATTAACCTTCGTGAAATAAGGCAATATCAAATAGTTTTATACCATGGCCACAATGGTGTAAGCATATCTGTGTCGGTATCTATTCTGGTATCTAAAGCTAAGTGACGCTGTTGTTCGCACTAAGAGCAGAACGAGTAATAAAATACATACCTTTAAGATGACAGATTTATTTCCGAGATTTCAATGAACCTTCTAAAGACGCTTGTGCTTTTTGTGTTTGCCACATTCTTAAAATATCTCCTATAGCAGCTAGGTAATCATCTGAATCTAATCTTGTGGATGGCATTGCTTCTAATCTCTGTCGCAGAAATGTTCCAATATAATCTGCTTTATCAGCTGTAAGGTAAAAAAGTTTTAGAGACCGATGTGATTTCAGATGGCGTGGGCTGTGGGGAGTATATTAGCTAAGATCGCCATTGCTTCTTCTTCAAGTCTAGAAATAGTGGTAATCAATGCAATGAACTCCTAACTCAACGTTCCGTACCATATTTGCTTGCCCTCCCATCCTTATTGTTTGTCTCACCGTCGTAAAATTACTATTTTTAAAACCTAATCAATTACGTTGCAAGCCATAATCATCATCGCACTCGTAATCAAACCAATGGAGCAGGAACTTCCGCACAGGATTATGTCCGACCACCTATATAGTTTGTCTTGCTTAAAATTTAAATTGCTATTGTTAACAAATACAATTTAGTCCAAATTGAAATTGCTAAGTATGGTCAATAATATTTGGAAACTGCAAATTTCAACCAAACAAAAACAGTGACTAAAATTCACATCATGGGAATAGCTTTCTTAAAATGTCAGTTTAGATATTAAAACGATGAAATACGGCATTCAACGCATTAGTAGATTCTTCTTTCAATAACATGACAAACCTACAAAGACCGTGTTTGAAGGGTTAATATTTCGGATAGGGGCGAAAACGTTCTTCAAAAACATTGAATAGAAATGATTTCTGACTACGACTGTACCTTCTGAGGAGAGGAGTTTAGCTTTAATTATTTGATTTATTTGATAAACATTACAAAAACCACGAGTATATGCATTAAATAATTTGTATTTTATTTTTTTTAGAAAAAAATCATTCCAGCCCACCTACTGGCCATGCCATTGCGAATTGGCAGTTTTCACTTCCAATTATGTATTGTTCAAACGCCTTCAAACGGTTTTCGCAGATTGTTAATCGTGTGAACGTGTTTTTGAACCGTCGAACAATTTACTTAGCATTAAGTAAGTGGTAACATTTTGTTATTGTTTTTAGACTATGAAGGAGAAAAACTGTAAATGTACGTCCATTATAATTGTTATCATTAAGAATCGCCGACCAATTTACTGAATACATTTGTAAGGATTCAAGACTATTAGCAGCCAATTTAAGGACAACTAAATCATGAACGATCTGGAACATCTCATCAATATACAATAGAAATGATCTATTATTAAAATCCTACTTCTGACTAATGTTAAGGGTTCTTTATACATTGATAATTAATTCTTAATTGCCAAGGTCAGTTTTAACATGTATAACGCCACAGTAATTGTGAAATTTATCTCAGTGAAGAGGAGTAACTGTACTTAAAATAAGGTTTCATTGAAAGTGTCACACATGTTCTTGATATTTCGGCTATAATATCTTGAGTTAAAAGTCCAAACTGTGCAACGTTTTTCCGATATTCCTAAGAACAAAACATAAAGTAAGGATGTCATATTGCTAGACGCACTAATAATGAGAAATTCACAGACAAAGAGCAGTAACTATGCTAAAAAATTGTTTTTAATTATTTGCTAAAATGTTCTCAGTATTAGTTAAAAAGACTCATACAAGGTCGATCGTTTTCATTTATTCCCCTTCCAGGTACACTTTTGCAAGCGGGCTACAAGCTCTGGATGCAGGTCAAAAAAGGATTTTCCGCAGCCACCGTAAGAAGTCCTTCACAGTGGAAATTACGACATCATTACTAGAAAAAGACCACCGGCTAATTCCTTTTTCATTTTGGATATTAGTGGAAGGCTGAGGTGCCAAATTTGGCTACATCATGGACATATTGTCACTGGCACGTCAAGAGCTTTGGCTCTGTTTAAGAAGTTAATAACTCCATGATGAAAATTCCTTATATGAAAAACATGCGTAGCGAATCTGTCACAGACACGCTATAGATAGAGAATATTTCCTATGTATACAATGTCATGATGCGCATAAGTCGGAGGCCCAACACACAAACATATACAAGTACGCTTAAGAAAGTTAACATTTAGCGATGTATTTAAAGTAACAAAACTCTCATGTATACAAAACACAATCGGCAAACCAGCGTTGGAGAGGGCAAGAATTTGAGTGGCTGGTGGTATCATCAAACTGACGAATGATAAAGAAAGTCGTCTTTAGACCTAACTGAAGTGGCTAAATTAAAAATTAAAGCTAATTTGGAACGAAAGTTTGGTATAATTTTGATTACGCTGTGAACTTTAGAAATCTAAACGAAAAAGGTTTTTTATCCTGACCATATTTCTATCTCTCTACCCTCAATCTAGAGAGCCGCGGTGGCTCAGTGAGTAAGACTCTTGCTCGCTAACCTGAAGTTCCACGGTTCAATTCCGGCATAGAAGATTTTTCAACCCGGTTTCCCCGGGTTGAAGGTAAGAGGGACTGACATGGAAAAAGCGTGTAGTCGTTCGAATGAAAAGAGCAGCCGCTCGCAAAATTTCCTCCATTGCACACTTCATGGCGTTTCCCGTCTTCATTAACCCACATGGTGTAGAAAAGTAGGACGTAAAACTCCATTCATTTCATTTTATTTCTACCCTCAATCTTTAATCAAATCGGATGCAGACTTAAAATATTTTTGAATTTGAAGCGCCGACAAAAAGTTTGCATGGAATTTGTTTACAGACATATCGCATGTAAACGCACCTGGTCTTTTTGGTGGAACTAAGACACTGTATGTATTCCATGCATTCATTCCTGATAGATCCAGAAATAGGGAAAGATTTAATGAAATGAATGAAATTTTGCGCCCTACCTTCCTGCACCTAATTTGGCTAATGAAGAATGACAACGCCATGCAATGTGAGGAATTTTGCCAGTAAGGTGACAATAACCTACTCTTTTTCGATTTCCATGTCAGCACCTCCGACCTGCATCCCCAGACAGTGTAGACCGTGTTGAAAGAGGTATTGTCTCGAGCTTTGCTGGGATTGAGAAATTATGCAAAAAATCTTACCTCGTTTACCGTACCAATGGGCTTGAGTAAGAGATATGAACGTTAATAAAATAGCTAAGAATAAAACATTTTGTCGAGCCATTTTTAAAATATGTCCGAAAAATTACTTGTTACAGGAAAAACCGCTCTACCAAGTTCTTAAAACTAAAGTTTCAATCTTGAATATTACCAAACAAACGACGATCCAAGCAGTTCTCGTAGAATATTTTCGTTTTCTGTTTATATATTCGCTGTGCTGTCATTGATTCGTATCCGTAGGAGGCGCGCTCTAAGGCGACCAATCAGAAAACGAAATATTTAGAAAGCGTTTGAATAACAATGAAGGTAATTGTCTGTGATAAGGCTAGTTGGTATAAATAAGAAAAATTAATAAATTGATGACCAATGAACACATATATTACTCCTTATTACACTCCTACACTCGCTCACACGACTTCGTTGATAGCGACAAATTGTGCCTTTTTCTTTATCTCAAACGACTGAATGTGAAGTTACCTCGAAGAATTGGAGTTTGGAAAACCGGAGTAAACACAAATTAAAAGAGTTTGTCATATTAACGTATTTGATTTTACCTTTTCTGAAAGGCTAACTACCATAGGAACCAAGACCACGGACCCCTACCCCCAGAACAAAAATGAAAACAAAAAAAAAACAAAAAATGTACCGAAGTATAAAATTCTAAATTCAAACTAAGCTACCAGCAATATATAAATATGTGAAATAGCATTACCTACAGACTGAATGTCATTCATAAAACATTAAAAGACATTCAACTGATTAATACTAGCGTTTCACCAAGAATTGCAGTCGGCCCGATCTGGTCCCTGAGTAAACATTTCTTTGATCGGCCCAATTGTCGCCTCCAGTCGTCCCCTTCTTTTGAACTGATTGAGTCCCAACTAAAAGATCAAGACAACACGACGGGACGAATCGGACGTTCTAAAAATGCTTATAGGGTTGTTAATCTTACTCAAAGGATTGTTTTGTTCCTGATAGTAAAAATTGTCAGGAATCTCCGACCACTATCGCACATTACCTTATACATCCTGGGGAAGATCTGGCGCAATCTTTTCAGTCCTAGGAGGGTCGGGTACCGAAAAAGTGATCGACTACTGTTTTTAAATATGTTGCCGACCTGTAGGCGATCCAAACTGTCCCCTGTCTCGTAGGTTATCTGGAGCTTTCAGTTAAGTCGTCCGCAAACCGTTTACTTCCTAGGCTGCTTGCGTCAACATACGCCTACATTCGGCAACTCTATCGGTATCGGCGCGTACTCATGCATACTTGCACCACGGAATCGTGTCAATCCCTCAAAGAAATTCTATAATTCTTCCGACATGGTCCATTGGTCGGGACTCATTCAGTAAAATACGACGACTGAAAGCGATTTTGTCAAATCCTTGGATAGTGCTGGTTACTCATACATTTGTTTTTGAATATAAGCAATATGTGGCGCTAGACAGGGTATCCTTACTCATCTAGAAACCCGATACCACTTTTCATTATGAAATACATTTATGATTGAAATACTTACTCATGTGAAAGGTTCATTAGCTCTTACTAATGTTTCGCCAATATATTTTTTGGATTTTGGGTTTCGTTTTGCGGTTCGGATCATTAGTACTTGGTTTATTTATATAAGTGTAAACCGTTCAGCAACGTTCTTGGTCATATCCGTTCAATCTGTCTTAAACTACAATTGTCTAGTGCAGCACTGTCCAATGTATCAATGTATTACACTTGTCTAATGTGTATTACGATCTAGATTCTTGTCGTCAAACTTAGCACTAAGAATCTGCTGCTTTCCTTTTATTCTTATCTATTCAACGTCATCTATGTTGACAATTGTATTTTGTTATCGTATATGACATTTAAAATTACCTTTCACTACTACTTATTGCGAATAACTATTTCAATTGTATATTACAATCTTTCAGTATCTAGTATGTATAGCTGTCTTTAGAAACTGTGTAGTATAATTGTTATGTGTGTTATAATAACCTTTCCCAATTGTAAATTGTTCCAGGATAGAGTTGGGAGAAAGACGTTAAGTTATGAGAAACTAACAGAAGATTATCCCAGGTTCAAAGATATTTATGATATTGATACGACTCAATTAGATCTTGATGCCTTAGTTGTAAGTATACACGTGTAATCGTGAATTTTACAAGTGTGAAAGAAAGAATTCCATGAAGGTTATCATTTCGGTACACGATTCTGTGAAGTTTTCTCTCATATTCATATTTTATTAGTCCTGTCAAGTTAGTTAGTGGGTATCTTGATTCAATCATTCCCTGGCAGTCATATTTTCACTTTCTGAAATTGACGAGTACATAATCATTTCACTGCTATTGATGCTGAAAGCTATTCTGTATATTGATATCAAGAACTCGTTATGCATCAATGAAAATTAGCTTCGAGATATTCTTTTAAATGCATAGCTATGATATAAATGTTATTAAGTTAGTGCGCTGATGGTTTAGATTGAAAATAACCTGGATGTGAATATTATAATAAAGCATTCGGTATATTAGAGAAGAGACCAAAGATTTGGTTCTCTTTCTTTGTCACTTTTTGAATATTCAAAAACAAGCAGAATAATTTTATAAAATGAATAAACCCTTCCGAAACGAAACCTCTAATATCCTTATTTGTGACCCTGTTCCTGATAATCCATAAAATCATAATGTTTCCTGTTGGCAAATGTTATGATTATGTTCATTTATAAAATTGGCGCAAGAGAGACTTATTTGTACACGCACTTACATTAACACTAAGAATGAATATTTGTAGGATATTGGTACCTACATGAATCCATGTCCCTATACAGTATACCCAGAAACTACAGTAGGCCAGGTTTTTCACCTGTTTAGAGGAATGGGGTTGCGTCATCTGCCAGTTGTCAGCCATCAAGGCGAGGTAAGTGATCAGCTTTTTACAGTCTATAATCTTGGCCGTAGTTTCTCGAAAAAATTTGAATTAATATAAAATAAAGGGTGGATTTTTATATTGAGAAATAGCACACTTGCAAAACAAATGATCATATGATAGCAAAGGAAGTTTAAATGAGTCACACCAACATATTTCCAATTATACATGATAGATTATGAGCTTTCTGTAGAGTTTTACAAAATTGTTATGTTATGAATGGTTCATCTGTTGGTGGTATCTTGTTCTGCTTGATATACTAGCAGCAGCAGAAGGGAAATCAAAGAGGTGATTTTGTGACTAAGCATACGTTGTTGCCCACATCACTTGAAAATTGTCACTTTGAAACTTGATGTATTATAATAGAGTTTATTCACGAGTTGAAGGCCACGTTGATAACCAACATTTGAAAGTAAATTTTTCTTCAAATGACATATTTTATAGAGGTAATATTGGTAGGGTTAATTGGAAAGATGACTATATAGTAAATGGTGTAGACGCTATAATTCAATTTACACCGAACAAAATATGCCAATTGTTCCATTTCTGATCAGATGACGAATGTTTTTTGGGACAACGCTGACTAAAACTATAAATTTTCAGATAAATTCTTTATTTCGGCTATAAATCATTGTCAGAGTTTTGTTTGGAATTCGAGCACGGTTGTAACAAACTACGAGTCTATTTACTTTTTGTACGATGACGTTAATACTTCATCTACTTGAGGAGAAGAGAAGCCCACTCATCTACTTGAGTCACAGGCGTTTAGGTTGCTTTTTCCCTCAAAGGATTAGAAAATGATCTTATTGTTCGCTAGGTATCTTATCTTTTAAGCGAAAAGCTACCATTGCATTTATGTTCAGCTATCCAACATTTAAACTTTTGACTTTTATTAAGCAAAAATGGTTGATGTGACAGCTTGCTTTTGATAAGATGCACATATTCTTCTGATGAACAGAACTAATTTAGACCATCTTTCAAAAATATCAAAAAATCTGCATTGAAAACGAATGTAAATGATTTCGAATGTGATTGTTTTGTGGTCTTGACACCGTGTGATGCTTGGCGATTTATGAAGTGGTATGAAAGAGAACGTTGGTAGGTTATGGTGAACGACCAACTAATATGATGTCCATCATCATTATTTACCAGTGTCTGTGTGATGTTGGCGAACACTAATGAGAGTGATATGAGGTGTCAAAATCATGTCGTTGTTTTTCTGGTAGTTGTTACATCTAATTAAACTTTGACTCTCTAGTCTAATAAGATTAATTTGGTCTTCATAAACATCGTCAAGGTATTGACAACAGTTTGAATTAATCTAATCTAAACCAAGCTAATATATGTACAGCTATACCAATTGGTGCTCTGTTTGATGATACCAGAGACATTCTTAACTACCAACCACCAATTAACAGTTTTACACATGCATAGTACTGTACTCATTATTGTATTCATTAAGTTGAATATAAAAATTGCTTAACAGTCGAGTGTATTAATCAGTTAGATCAGGCCAGTGCAACCTTTCCGCAACGGCGGGCCACATTTGGGGTTATGCAAGTAGGCCGTGGGCCACGTAACCAAACATAAATGAATCATGGAATTAACAATGAGAAACATACAATTTTTTCAAGTCATATATTCAATAATGTATTTCAATGTGCATTGCAAATAGCAGACATATTTGGCGTAAAATCACCGTTTCACACGAGGGCAGAACTCGTTAATGATTTGATTGGTTAGATTCGTTTTGACGTCATACTTTGATATAACAGAGCTGATATAACGAGTTTCGATATTAGAATAGGCAGTGATAATCTGCGAGCCACACCGACAGTGACAAGAGCAAAGAAGCATTTGGTCGCAGGTCGCATTGCCTTCAAATTTTAGATGACGCCGCGGGCCACATGAAATCACAGCGGGTCGTAGGTTGCACAGGCCTGATACATATGCACTCTTTCATAACAGTAACAGTGTTGCTCACTGGATTCCTTAAAACAAAGTTACACGAATGTCGTCAAACGAAACAAAAATTTGCGTAACTTGAAAGTGTAGAATTTTAAATTGACAAATACCACACTAACGTCAAAATTGACCGTAAGAACACCATGTAACTATTCACATCGCCTCTGTATTAGTTAATTTTAACGTAGCATACCCTATTTCTTTTTTTCAGTTAACTGGAATGATCACCAGACATAACCTAACTCACGAATTTTTAGAAGAAAAATTCCACCAAATTCGAAAGGACAACCAGAATGAAAAAACTGACTCTCATGCAAATATCTAGTTTTCTGCAGTGCTACATTTGTACTTATATAAATAATTATGCCGAGGGAGCACTAGCAACACATTTCTATGAATCGGGAGGCATTGGAAGTGTACAAAAATATAAGTGCAAGTGTCATTGTGTTGCTGTCTTCATATCCTGCCTTTGAAGAAAATGCAAATATGTATTCTAGCTCATGAAAGAAAGGTTATTAAGGTTTTCCAATTTAAAATAAAAAAATAATAAATTTAACATTATAACTTGAATCAATATAAGACAGTCAATGTGCTGACAATGATAATAATATCTCTGTTCAATAAGTCTTAATTATTTATTGTAGAGTTTTTATATCACCTCTTTTAGGTGTACTCACACAAACGCCAATCCCTCAGCACCTAAAGTGGCCTTCACACCACATCGATCAACAAGATTACGAATAAGAATAGCGGTCAACGCACTCTCATGCAACTCTCTTAACTTAACATAACTTAAACTTAATAAATTCATTAGATTTCAAGATAAATGTCCAAATATACAACAGATGAAATAAGCTCCTTGCTAGAAAGACGAACGTTTGCAACTGTCTGCAAATGCAATTTTCAGTGCTGCAAGGTTGACTATATCAAGTTAAATCATCAAATACTACCCACTTGCCTTTAGATTCTATCGTCACAATGTCGAACAGAGCTTCGCACAACCTACCCCATCCCTCCACCTTTCACACTCAAGCATCCGTTTTCATTAACAATCATCCACATTCTACATGTAAAAGTCAACAGAACGACGAAGAAAGTCATAGCTATAAAGATTGATGATAAAAGGTATCAATGTTTAAAATCTAAATATTGTTTCACTGGAAGCTATAATACTATAATTATTAATTATTAATAGTCCATATTTTATATTCTTTTATTATACAATTTCATTTGAATTTATTTAATAGTCAATTTATTTCATATTGAAATTATTTCAGTAGTTTGTCAAAATAAAACATAGCATGTAAAATGTAATGCCTTTAATGACGATCATGTCGTTTCTGAATCGTATCGTACATTAAAAAGGGCAATGCCCCATTATATCTTACTTAGTTGTTGGCCTGAGCGATTGAAATTTGTGACAAATGCAAATAGTTCGTCAATTTTCTCTCAGTTTCATCAGTCGACTTGAGTCTCCTTTCAGATTGATGTTCTTACTGAACGACTGTCCAGAAACTCAACCAGATGCAAATAATTGCCAACAGTAACTATAATAGGAACATGATGAAACACCTGATCGACTAAGAAGTTATGACTATATTTGGTCGTATATCTTACAATATCTTTGACAAGTCAAAACCGGGTCAGTTTCGTGATGTCCTTACCCCATTGATGTAAGTTGGATTAAGTCGACGTAGGCCATATGATTACAGGCTGTTTCCCTTTAGCTTATCAACCAAACAGCGTTTGGACCCACAATCGATCAAATAAGTATGTTTTAAACTTGAAATTATATTGATAAACGGACAAGAATGATTAACTTTGATTTTTATAATGTTCCGTTGTATTGAGCTGAAGATATTTTGGATGCTTCGTTCGGTGCATTTCCCCATTTCCCATGCATGACATAATTTCCATTTGGTGTTAAGTCGAGTTCGGACCCTATAAATTAAACAGTTATCCCATTAAGACAATCTGCCCCCCGTTTGTTTTGACTCGTCGTTTTATTTTTATGTACTACTGTTTTTGTCCCAATCACAGGAGGCTGGTGCCGTCACTGATCACAGTTAACGTATTATAATCACAGAAAAGGATGTAAGAATGTTAAATTATGTATAGTATCTGAATAGCTGAAAATTTAATCACTGACCATAACACTTTTCCCCGGTTAAGTATGCACAATAAATTCTCCAAAAAATACTTATTTAGATTCTACTATCTCTTGAATCGGTAGAATGAAATGAAAATGCAATTGTGGGTGTAAACTCCTTTGACAAACTACAATTGCACCAAGATATGCGATACCTTTCACTTCTCAGTTTACAAATCCATTCAGAGGTCCATTTTGACTACTAACAGCAAACAGTAACAACGAAATGTGTAGGTTCTCAGAAAGGAATCGGATCAATTACGATGTTGTGTTCGATCAAGAATTATTGAGAAATTGCATTTGTACCATGTTCTTTCGAAATTCCAATCCATTCCCCTCGCTGAATAAAAAAATAATGTAGAAAGAAATACTAAGCAATAAGTACCTAGCGAAAAGTTGATTCAAATCCACATTCTTACACGCTGAAGAACATCTCACATGGCAAATTGAATGTCAAAGAGAATACCCTAAGGCGACCTGAACACAAAAGTAAGGTGTCTTGAGACGCATCAAAATTGTCATTTATGTTTTACTCTGTAATTTTCAGCTTGAAAATTGTGATGAAAACTGCAATAGGAACTAAAATAACTGTAAAACATAGTTTGGTATGTGATAATTTTGAAAGTACGGAAATTGGTGGATATAGTCGATATTTCGTAATTTCACTCTTGTAGTTTCCATGTGACGTTTAATGGAATTCAGGAATTATCAGCGGTATAAACGTTACGAAATTGTGTTAATAAGTATCGATTTTAAATTAAAATGAAATTTTAGTAATAATGGTATAATAACGGTACTTTATCCTTAATTTTTTGTTGTAAATTTTGAGATCAGATGGAGGCTATGCGTTTAGAACAGTATCCTCTTTAGTGCACTTTTTACTCATTTTCAATCTGGAAGACAAAATCGTCGGTGGTCTCAATCTGTCCACAATCACCAGGGCACAGTTCTCTATAACTTTGAGCACCCGTGTTAGAATTTTGTAGCTAAGAAGTTGAACGGACTCGAAACAAGAAGCACCGAAAGACCAAAATAAATTCCACTAATAAGCTGACCTATTTTTTTCCGAAGCCCAATAAAAAAAATATATTAAACATCAAGTAGAACTGTCTGCAAACCAGATGGTTGACCAAAACTTTATCAATTGGTCCAAGTGATCAAGAAATTTATCCAGAACAAGATTGACTTTCTTGCCACCATAATGTTTATGAATAGGAAACTTTATTCGATAACAAAAGAATAAGTCATTATTCAGACATTGTTATCAATAGTTATAATCTAGATCCTTAGTTTTTCGAAAATTCAGAATTCATAGGAAGAAATCCGAATTTTACAAATGGTTTTTGGTAGAACGTTTCCTTTAGATGCTACGTTAAGGAATACAATGTCTATCCATTTTTTTAAAAATTGAATTGCTGCATTTAAAATTTTCCGGAAAGGTCAGCAATATTTAAATAATATTAGCTTCAGATAAATCTATATTGATATTTAAACTACAATCTCAAATAAGACTTCTGAATTATGTTTCCAAACAAACTGACGA